CCCCAAAACCCCAAAACCCCAAAACCCCAAAACCCCTAGATCCATCATAACAAAAAGAGAAAGTAACAACTAAAATTAATTAGAATTATAGTTTATATACGAATGATGCAAGAAATATATCTGTAGATGTAATATTGGAGGCATACTTGCTATGTTATCAATAAATGCTAGTTTGTTTCATGATGTTGAGGAATTCTTGTTCGTTGATCTCTCCATCTCCATCCTTGTCGAACTCGTCGATCATAGCTTACAACTCATCATCACTTAAGTTCTCCCCTAATTCCCTGGCTACTCTTCTGAGGTTTCTCAAGCTAATTCTGCCTGTATTGTCCTCATCAAATAATTTGAAAGCCTTTAAAATCTCCTCTACTGGGTCTCTTTCACTGATTTTATGAGTCATGATCTCTAGGAAATCGTGGTACTCAATTTGCCCAGTGTTATCTCTGTCATATTCTTTCATTAAGTTGAGGACTTCTTGCTTTTTAACATCAAAGCCGAGGGCTCTCATTGCTACTTTCAATTCATGATAATCGATGGTGCCAGTCTTGTCAGTGTCGAACAAGTCAAAAGCCTCTTTGATTTCTTGCTTTTGTTCGTCAGACAGCTCCTGACGTTACTTTCTCTTGGCTACTTAACCTGTTCTCTGATTTTTATCTTGTCCCAAAAAGTCTGGCTTTCTTAGCATTTGAATTTAAATTTTGAATAATTATAATTTTTATTTATAATACTCTCATTAATAACAAGCCATCTCTCATTAAAGTTTTATATAATGTTTATAATCAAGGATTAAGTTTCATATAAAATTGTGTGATTCTTAGTTGAAGATCTATTTTAATGGTTTCTAACTACTTCAGTATCTCTTAAGTACTGACTAAGTCTACTTATTGTTTCTTTTCTTTTCAATTCTTGCAACCTCTCTTGAAGGGTCCATTAGACCAGATCTGTATTCAGTCTTTATTACCCTTTACTCTTGTAAGTAATCATCATGAGTCATGATCTTATACATGTAAATTTATTTCAGTTTCTTGGGATTTTCAGCTATCTCGATTTCTCTTAGTAAATCTATAGTATCATTTAGTTTGTCCTGCCTCAACTCCTCTATATATTAGTCTCTTTCAAACTCATGAATTCCATTCTTTAAATTCTACTTTGAATCTTATTCCAAATACAAGCAAGCATGAATCAGGTTCTTGACTTTTCCACGGTTAACAGAAGTAACTTATTTGCTCTACTCTTGAGTCGAGGTATTCATAGTGTATCTGTCAAAGTGCTCCTTAAAACTTGAATCTCTTATTGAGGGAGTCGGACTAATAAAAGTCTGCCTTTTCACGCTTACATGTCTTACTGGCAGGGCTTTCTTATCTATTAGCAGATGTTGAGCTTTGTGAATAAATTAGACCTTTGGATGTAATGCCGAGAAGTTATGCCTATTTGTAATCATAATACTTCTATTGCTGTCTACATTTTTTATTTTTCTTTTAGTTGATAACATACTAGTATTTTTTAGAGATACATCCAATTAAGGTGTTATATTAAAGGCACTGAGATCTTATTTTATGCTCATTGAATTGTTGTTCTAATTTTGATTCAGATGAATTTCATCAATAGTCTTATTTAGAAGCGAGTCATCAATGAAGTGATCAATAGATTTTTGAGGTGTATTCATTGTAGTATGAGAACCTTGTTTTAAGCCTGGTAATCCTCTTGCTCTTAGATTCATATTAGTTAAGTCGAATTGGCCAGTCTTTGTTTCTAGATGAGGTAGCTGTTATTGAGGATCTTATTAGTCTGTACCAGCATCTGATGCCTTTTAATTTTTTTGTATTCTCTGCTTAACCTTCTCGAGCATATTATTGAACTTAAAGCTTGCCTTCTTGAACTTCACCAAATCTGGTAACCCCTGCCCGTTTTCATTATTGTCTTCTTACTCCTACTAATTTTCAGGTGCTTCATGTTCTTTCTCCTCCTCATCAGAATAATAATCATTCAAAGATGAGACTGAATGTTACTTAGTTGAAGCAACTACAGCTATTGGGGTGATTGTACTTAGCATTGCAGAATTAAGACCCTTTGGAGGAATGATATCCTAATTTAAACTTTACCCAGAATCTTGGTGTTTTCTCATGGCAATTGTTCTCAAAATATGTAAAGCTTTTCCTTTTATATGTTGACCACCTTTTGGACTAACATTTTTTTTCTAACCTCGTAGCCTCATATCCATCAGATCTTTCTTCAATTTCCTAGCAACTCTTTAAACAAGTTTTTTTCTTTCCTGATCTTATTCATAGTTATCCTGCTCCATAGTTCTCAGAAATAGTCTTCCGAGCTTGTATTCGTAAAAAGCCTTTTTGTTGTCCTTACACTTATTCACTCCCTTATTGCCTTCATTTTTCATCTTTGATCTGTTAATTTAAATCCTATATCTATCCATTATGCCTCTAACTTCTTTCTCAGTTTAGCTGACATATTCATCAGACCCACTATGAGTTTTAAGGTTATTTTTCTTTAAATTCGTTATGATTTCATTGACAACTTTAGTATGCTCCTACAAATCAGATACCTTGTATTAATGATTTTTTTCTCGTCTCTCATGAAATGAAAGAGCGTCATCCACCAAATCCACATTTTTAAGGTTGATTTTGTTAGAATTGGCATAGAAATATTGTAGAATCATTTTCAACTCATTGTCAATTTTCTCTTTTGAAAAACTGAAAATATCTCCATAGCTGTCAATAAAACTCTTCATTTTCTGCAGGAATTGCTCCTCTTCTTCAGTTAGTATCTTGACAATTTTATGCTAACTGCTGTTCCCACTTTTTCTTAATTTCTTGAATTTTTCTGTTTCTTACGAGATTATGCTTGGATTTGCTGTAACTCTAGGCATACTCGAATTTTTTCTAGTGTAATCTCCATAATCTTTTGATTCCTATTGAAAGATAGGGTCAAGGTCCATTTTATACTGAGTCGCCTAAACTTGAGATAATGAATTGCTCAAATTTACAAGTTTTTATAGTTTCTCAGCAGCGTTGTCAGGTGATTAGTGTGAGCTCTTTGAGCTCATTTTATTATTTTTATTCATTACCAACCAATTATGTGCTTTTTACAATATTTCTTTTGCCTTTCTAAAAATATTAATAATCATCTACTGGGGTTTTGGGGTTTTGGGG